AGGCTGTAAATTATCGGTGCCGATGCTCGCAGCTGCGCGCATGCTCAGTTGTTTGTTTTCGCAGAGCCTCCGAATCAAGCCTCTATTAGGCGCTGGAACAACAAAACTGAACAAAGAATTCTGAACATCTGCGCTGAGCTCCCTATCTATATACTGAACCTATATCCATAATCAGATCCTCTGCAGATGTGTCCTGTGCATGCAGTTCATGATAATAGCTTGTTCCCGGGTTTGCCGCGATCGCTTTTTTTGTGCATAAAAACATTATTTTTTTCATTAAAACGTTAACAAATATTTTTGAAAACCTCTGTGCATTTTTATTAATAATGTATATGTATAATTTGATCCCTCAGATTAACATTTAAATGTGTTACGAAAACGTAGGTGTAGACCAATCAGAAAGGAAGGGGGAGGGAGCTTGCGTCGTTTTTTTCAAATCAAGTACCTCTCTGTCTCTCTTTCTGACAAACTCCAGACAATCACTTTAATGCAAGGTATACAGGTTGAACTAAAATTGAATAGGAATTTAATATCTTTTTTTAATATCTAACCCTAACCCATATCTTTTCTTTATCAGACATGTTGTATTCAATTATACCACTCACAATATAAAACAAAATTGTATTCAAGTCTGTTGAAAGATTGTTATATAGCTTCCATGAGAAAAAAACTGTTACTTGACCCAACTAACCTTTGTATGTTATATGTCCCTGAGATTACCAAGTGTACAGTACTTCTAGAAACCGCACGGCCAATTTGAACAAGTCGTCGGTATACCCATTTTGTGGCCTTGATAAGATAAAATCATGGCAAGCCAAATGAATATTCTTCGGGGTTGTTAAGCCCACTGAAGAAGTGGCTTGGGTTTCTCTGTGTGGCCTCTGACACAGATGATTGCGTGGGCAGCTATGCAGTTTTTCCTCATAATTTCTGTATGTCATGCCACTCGTGTCCATTGTCACCCTCAATAAGGCAGAAAGCAGTAAAAGAGAAGGGCAGTGTTGAGTCAGAAGATACAAACTGCAGTACACGCTCCAGTTGAATACCAAAACATTCAAAGCCACACTAATATACAGTATTATGAGTGCTAATGTATGATTGTCATTCAATTGCATAACACTATATACAACATAAAACCGCTAATCGAAATAATTTAAAATATTTTAAGCCACCGAATGATCCCTGGCATTTAGCAAGAAGGCATTTTTTTTGATTCAACAGTAAGTCTGAAATGGCATGGAAATAATTTTAAGTTTTAATTCTGACAAATAGTTAATGGTCTTGGGAGAGAAGGGGATCAACCTGCCTGCATTTCAAAACTAATTCAAACTGTCAAAATCCCTTGAGTCGACTGCTTCCGATTGCCTTCTGCTGAATGCATCACATCAGTTATATTATTTTATTTTTGTTTCTTTTTCCGTCAAAGCAATATTTGCATAAAGACTCATGCATGCCGATGTATCTGACAGAAAATGGCACAACATCACGGCAGTCTTCTGGATCTAATGTAGACTATTTTCAACACATCATACACAACTATTGCATCCACAAACATATATCAAGCCATAAATATGTAACACTACCTGGATGCGTTGGGCTTTTTCCCATTTTCGCTTTCACAGATTAGGCCCATGCATCACAATCAGAACACACATAATAGAAAGGTAATTTACTTACCTATGACAAATGACTTCACTTTCATGCATATCTACTTTATTTTATCTTCGCCCCTCAAAGCTTTACCCCCGTAGCGGTCCAAAGTGGTTTGCAAAGCATATCTGTACGGCTTTTAATTGACTGTGCTGAGCGATGTGGCTGCTTGGTGGTGCTTTAATTTGCAAGGATGGTTAAACAGGTGTAGCATCATAAAGTAATGTAATGGCTTTCCCCTTCGCCCCCTGGTGTGAAGTGGCGAGCTAGCCAGGAGACTGCAACGTGGGAGAATTGATATAGAAGTGGATTTCTTCACTCTAAAAAAGTCTATGGTACAGAAGGTAAATAATTGATGATTGAGGCTTTTCTTATAGATGATGGATTCTATAGTGTCTGCAAACATAGCACATCACACGGTGTACCTAGGAGTGCATTGAAAAGTATATAAGTGTGTCTCTGCATGGTGGGCCGGATAAATCCAAGGTTAAATGTTGTCAAACCAGCCTTGAGGCCATGGCAACACTGTACATGCTGTAAAGTGCTCCCAGTAGAGAAGCAGAAGAGTCCTGCTCCAGATGTCGTGGTGCACAGCTCTACACCGGCATATGTCATACTCAGCCAATGGGGAGGACTGGCACTGGAGCACAGTTTCACTGGCCAAACTGAGCCAGTCCAAGGAGGCATGAACATCATGTCATAGCTTGCAAAATGAGACAGTGATTCCTCCAATGTGATGTATATAGCAACATTTCAAACTTTTAAGCAATTGAACATTCCCTGTACAATATAAACAATATAAACTATTTTCACAACAGGTTGAGTAATACTTTTAGTTTCAAAGTGTTTCCACCACATCTGTTTACTTCTGGAATCTCTTTTCTCTATTCAAGTATGAATAAAGATGTCTTGCTGCTTGCCCTGTGGCCATAACAGGATACAATGTCAAGTGCCTTTATCGCCCTCTGAAGCCCCCTGCAGTTCGCCTGACAGAGCCAACAGATCTGTAACAATGCCATTAACACTGGCCCTTCCACTAGCCTCTTACAGCACCTGGACTCCCCCGGGGACCAACCCAGGATCCTTTTGTGGACTTCACCTCGGCACTTTCAACACGATCCTGCCATCCCCTGCCCAGACAAGGACTACTCCCCCGCTCAACGGCCCGATTCCACTCTGCAGGTGGATCACGGACTTCCTGTACGGAGGGAAGCAGCGAGTGCGTCGGGGGAAGAGAATGTCTCGAGGCGCTCCGGATTAAAATACAGGGAGCCCCACAGGGCGTGTTCATTGCGCGCCCTGCTCTTCTCCCCTGTACACCAACCACTGCATCTCCAGCTACAACTCTGGTGAAGCTCCAAGTTTCACGAACGACACCAATGCTCATTGGACTCATCTCCAACAACGAATAGGTCCGCCTACAGGAGAGGAGGTGGACCCGCTGGTGCCCTGGTGGCAGTGGAACAACTGGAGCTGACCCCAGAAAACAGTAGATGATTGTGGTCTTCTGAAGAGCACTTTCCTGCCTGCCCTCCCTAAGGAAAAGGAGTGTCAGGTTCATGGCGCAGAGCCTGATGTCGACGTGACTTTGCTCTGGCCTTGTTTGTCTTGTTGTAGTATTAGATAGCAATATGGCCTACGTGCAGGACTCTAACAAGGGACTCTGATTATTATTGCTTGGATAGAATACTGTTAGAGTAACGATATGTCCTGCATCTCAGAGAGCATATCTTCTGCCAAGGGAAGAAGACTGGAACATGGGCTTTTCCCAGGGTGGCCAGATGAGTCATTACAGTTTTCTCATTGCTTTGGGCATTTCTCACATCAGACTTAACTTCGCAAACGCTGAGTTCAACCTCCACAACATTGGGTCCATTGGTGCTCATCATCACGGCAGTTTTCCATCTCTGAACACATTTCAAATGCGTTCGTTCATGTATCAATAACGTCAAACAAGTTCTCTCGGTGCGGTGTGTTATATACATTATCATTTGCTTCTCTGCCTGTCAGTCTGATATGAGAAACTTACTGAGGACTTGCTGAATAGTCATTCACTATAAAACTAACTGTTCTCAGTTCATCGCTTTGGGCATGCACATACAAAATTGCTTGAACTAGTTCCAAAATCAAACTGTCGAGCTTAATTTCATAACATTCCTTTAATCGTTTGTTTCCTGTAATATTTCCGAGAATGGGAACAATTTAACATTTGTCAACATACTTACATACATACATACAGGACAGTAGATACATACATAGATACACAGTACACCCTCTCACACTGCCACATATATGTCAGTTACTCTCTAAATACAGTCTTTGTGTACCTTGAACTGTAGTGTTTTTACTGTAGTAAATGGCCGTAGAGGTCGTGGGATAGTGTGAGTCGGTGCTCATGCGTGCACCGAGGGAATCTGACTTTTTTTTACACTGAATACGACAGATAAACTTTCAAAATGAAAACGTGACTAAGTCATTTGACGGTGATGTATCATACTCAATTTGTTAGGACTATATTATGTTTGACGACAGAGACAGTTTCATTAACGGATGGACTTGCTTTTGAGGAAAAAACGTTCATTTTGAGAAAGTAACGCACTTTTGCAGGGTTACGCCACGAGGTTGCTGCAAGTTTACCACGTAATTGTTCTAGAAATGCACCAACAGTTTGTGCAAATGTGAGAAGAATCGAGGTGAGAAATGCACCAAAGTGCGACGAAAAAACTGGTATCAATCCTCCTCACTTTGTTTAAAAGTTCTGATTTAAAAGAACCTCCAGAATAGCAGGAAGCTCACAGCCCTCGCCCTATATTTGGCAAGAGCGGAAGCACCTTGGTTAAAGCGCTTTGTCCGCGTTTCTAGTGATGTTTCCAAACCACACAGCACACAAGAACCAACAAGTAAACTCTAATGGTGCAAGGCGATAAAAGTTTAGGCCAGAATCTTAGAGTTAGTGGGTAAAGTCTCTAACTGAAGTGGACGCAGTAAGTAGAGACGCGGACGAGCGTTACCTTAACGACTCGGGGTTGGGGGGGTGGGGGTGGGGGGGGGGGGGGGGGGGGGGGGGGTATATATATTATATAATATATATATATATATACTATATATAAAGGAAAATAATTATATATTGTGGGGGGGGGGGGGGGGGGGGGGGGGGGGGGGGGGGGTATATATCTATATTATATGGTGTGGGGGGGGGGGGGTGGGGGGGGGGGGGGTATATATTTATTGGGTTTTTATGGGGGGGGGAGTAAAAAGGTGGACATGGGAGGGTGTATGTGGGGTTTTACCCTTTACGGGCATCGACGCGAAGACTGCACCTGAGCTGTTGTCGTAGGACGAACAGGCTAATGAGAACGAGGGTGAATGATGGCGGAGTCCAGGTGACTAAGGGGTGTTGAGTTGTGTGTGTGTGTTGTTTTGGGTTGTGGTTGGGGGTGGAGGTGTTTGTTGTTTGTTTGTTGGGGGTGTGGGTTGCATGTTGGTTGTGTGTTTTTTGTGTGTGTTGTTTGGTGTGTGTGGTGGGTGGTTGTTTGTTGTTGTTGGTTGGTGTGGAGTTTGTGTGTGTTGATTTTTGGGGGGTGTGGGGGGTTTTTTGGTTGTTTGTTTGTTTGTGTTGTTGTGGTGGTGGTTGGTTGTGGTGTTGTGTGTTGTGGTGGTGTGTTTTTTTTGTGTTGTTGTTGGTGGTGTTGTTGTTTGTGTTTTGTTTGTGGGAGCGTTCCTAACGGGAGGGGTGGGTTTTGTGGGGGGTTAGGTGTGACTGCCACTGAACCACATTTTGGTAGCTCGGCTCTATAGGGAGGATGCATCAGTGTCACTGATGAACCGATGATGGTGGTGGTCAATCAGGAACATATTTGACGATCAAGTTTGGAGTCCAGAGGAGGACACAGAATCGGTGAGTGTACAAATGTAAAAGAGCAAAGGGACTCAAAATACATCCCTGAGGAGAACCAGTGCTCACAGAAACAACATCAGAAAAACAGTCATTGATTTTCACTCTCTGAGATCTGTCAGTTAAAAAGCTAAAAATCCATTTACACATGGCAACACTTAAACCGAGAGACATGAGCTTTTCAATCAGTTTACCTGGGACAAGGCAGTTAAAAGCAGAGCTATAATCGATGAAAAGCATTCTCGCGACAGATTTACTAGTGTCCAAGTGACTGTAGACAGAGTTCAGAGCAAAGGAGATGGCATCCTCCACACTCCTGTTCTGTCTGTAAGCAAACTGGAGCGGGTGAACACTCACAGGGATCTGGCTCTTAATGAAGTCCAGCACAAGCCGCTCAAAAGTTTTCATAAGAACAGACGTGAGGGCCAGAGGACGATAGTCATTCAGGCATGTCACAGGAGTTTTCTTAGGAACTGGAATGATGGTCGACTCTTTAAAGCAGTTCGGAATCGGCACAGTACAGTTCCTTAGCGACAGGTTGAAAATGTCTGTTAGCACAGGGCAAGTTGCTCAGAGCACAGTTTCAGGACACGAGGAGGGATGCCGTCCGGGCCTGGGGCTTTCCGGACTGTGGTCCTGGACAAGACATGTCTGACTTCCTCCTGAGTCACGGTGAAGGTACCTTGATTGAAACACTCAGGAAATACAGTAGGACAGGCATCAGCGGATTCAAAGCGACAGTAGAACGTGTTCAGCTCGCTTGGCAGAGCTTGGCCGACAGATGCAATTTTCCCAGCACTAGGTTTCCACGATGTGATGGCTTTAATACCGTTCCACATGCGCCGAGGGTCATCTTCCTCAAAATAACTCTTTAACCTGTCCCGTAACTTGCAGATTTAATAGAACGTTTCTGTAGCTGCAGAGGCAACTCTCATTTATTTTATTAATGTTTCAATCATTTTACTTAAGAGTTACAAATAATTATAAATAGTTAAAAGTGCTATTTACATTTATTTCATATTTTTGGACACTAGGAACCTTTTGTTTTATGGAACTATGTTTTGGGGAATGGTTATCTGGACACACCCTTTTTGTTGTTGTATTTCTTTTCCTCACAAGCCACGAGGTGCTTCGCTCGGTCCACGCATGGAAGATGTCGGGTATCAGAAAAGAAACCCTTTGAAAGTCCTTTTTTGTGTGTTTTATTTCCCTGTTGAGTAAAGCGGCCAATGAGGTATGTCTTGGTCTCCATTGCTCTGTGTTATGTGTTATATGTGTAAGTGCCGTCTTAATAGTTACTTAATGTAACTTAAGTTCTACGAATAGGTGCGTAGTCCCTTAGGACTTCGCTAGTGGGATATCACTCGTGACCCCCAGGTCACACGCCAGAGAGATCAAAATAATTTGCTCCAATCACCAGCCACCTTCCTCTATAAATGCCCCTGCACAAGGCCGCACCCCCTCTTGAACTCTGCCAAGCCGGGCTGGCCTGATGGGCTCGTAGCTAAGGGACTACGCACCTATTCGTAGAACTTAAGTTACATTAAGTAACTATTAATTCTACGTCATGGTGCTACGTCCCTTAGGACTTCGCTAGTGGGACACAACGCGGAGGCCGTAGGAAAATGTACTCCCAGCAGGCCAGCGAAGGGTGATTGGAGCTCCGCCCGAGCAAGACCCTCACAAAGTGAGAGGACTCAGGGCAGAAGAAACAATGCGTGTTACAGGGCCACTCCTACCAAGGATACCCCCACGTAACACAGATATAGGTCATCCGTAGTCACAAGACGCCTCTCCCAAGGGCTCCTGACGTGGACTACCAGACCGACCAAAACACACATATATGTACCGCACCTGTAGGATGCCTCTCCCAAGAGCTCCTGAACCAGGGCGGAAAGTAAACCGAAGGCCCCCTCAGAGGAGGGACCTAACGGTCTAACTCAGTCCGTTGCACTCAGCACGGAATGGGCCACCGACCGGTCCGACACATCCAAAGATAAGACCGGACGAAAGAGGAGGACGAAGCCCAAGAAGCCGCACGGCATACGTCCTCGACCGACACCCCCCTGAGAAGGGCCGTAGAGGCCGCCATCCCACGCGTTGAATGCGACCTGAAGCCCACCGGGAGGGCCAGAAACTGCGTCTGATACGCCCGCCGCACAGCCGTGGCAACCCAGTGCGCCAGCCGCTGAGCCGACAGCGGGGCGCCCCTGTTCTTGGGGCCCAGACACACAAACAGCTGGCCACCCAACCTGAATGAAGACGTCATGGCCAGGTAATGCCTCAGCATTCTGACAGGACACAGAAGGTGCCGCCGCTCCTCCTCGGGGGAGGCATGCGGTGGCAGATAGAAAGCCCTAATCCTGATGACTCTCGACCTAAGGCCGATGTGATGACCCTGGGGAGAAAAGCCGGATTGGGCCACAATACCACCATGCCGTCGCCCTCTCCAAGGACCGGCAAGACGCATGGACAGAGAGCGCACACAAGTCGCCCGCCCTCTTAGCAGACGCCAACGCCAACGCCAACAAGAGGGCCGTCTTAAGCGACACACTCGGGACTCGCCTCCGCCGCCGGTTCAAAAGGCGGACCCGACAGCCCCCTAAGGACCACCCTGAGGTCCCAAACCGGGGCGTTCTCTGGAGCGGGGGCCTCCTCCTGCGTGCCCCCCGCAGAAAACGTTTAACCAACGGATGAGAGCGGGCTGTGAACCCCCCGAATCCGTCGTGACCCGAAGTAATGGCTGCCGCGAACACCGCCAAGGTGGCGACAGCCCTCCCCTTGTCAAAGAGCTCCTGTAGGAATCCCAGGACCCCCTCCAGCGGGCAACGCCTGGGATCCCAGGAACGAAAACCGCACCAGTCGCTAAAGAGCCTCCACCTCGTGGCGTAGGCCCTCACAGTGGACGGCGCCCTCGCCCCCTGAGTGGTCTCCACCACCGCAGGGGGAAGACCCAGGTCTACGAGGTTCCGCCTCTCAGCCTCCAACCCAGAGCCTGCGGCCGATTATCGGACGTGAAAACAGGGCTCCTCCCCCCCTGGACTAGAGCCCCCGGCTCGTCCGGGAGGGCCCAGGGCTCCATCACCGCCATGCCCCTCAGGAAGGGGAACCACCGGGCATGCGGACTGTCCGGCGCCACCAGGATCACCGACCTCCTCTCCTGTTCGATCTTCCGCAGCAGGACCGGCAGGAGACGCACTGGTGGGGAACGCGTACAGCAGGCCCCCTGGCCAGAGGTAATGAGCCAGAGCGTCCACGCCTAAGGGCGGCTGGTCCGCGGCCCTTGAGGCGAACCAGGACGGGCACTGTGCGTTTCCTGCACTGGCGAAAAAAGGTCGACCACTGGACGGCCGAACCTCCGCCAGATCTCCGCAGCCACCCCTGGGTCCAGGCCCCACTCGTCCTGGAGCGGGCCCCCCCCCTGGACATCCTGTCGGCCCCCACGTTCCGGACCCCCGGGACGTGGCGCGCCCTGAGAGACAGGAGGTGAAGCGCCGCCCACAGCAGCGTCACCTTCGCCATGCGATGGAGAGCGGGGGACCTGGTGCCCCCCTGCCTGTTCAGATAGGAGACCACTGTGGTGTTGTCTGAGCGCACCATCACGTGTCTCCCCTGCAGCTGAGGAGCAAGTGCAGCAGTACCCTGTGCACTGCCTCCATCTCCAGCAGGTTGATGTGACGGGCTGAGTCCGACCAGCAGCCTCCTACAGAACTCTGGCCGAGGACCCCGCCCCATCCTTCGAGCGACGCGTCCGTGAACATCTCCACGTGAGACACGGCGCCGGCCAGAGTCACTCCGTCCCGTAGAAGACCCGGAGTGAGCCAGAACCTGATGTTCGATGCTGCCACTTGGGGAACCCAGATCAGCCTCCCCCCGTCCCGGGAGGGGTGAAGCCTGAGGCGTGAGAACCACCTCTGAAAATTCCTCATGTGGAGAAGGCCTAGCCGCACCACAGCATGAGCCGCCGCCATCATTCCCAGCAGGGACCTGAGGCGCCGAGCGGGGACTCTGGGGCCCGCCAGAACCTCCCCGGGCAGACGGGTAGTGTTCATCCGTCTGTCCACGGACCATGCAGCACGGAATGTCACAGAGTCTAGCTGCAGACCGAGATAGATCATGCGCTGAGCCGGTTGCAGCCTGCTTCTACGTCATGGTGCTACGTCCCCTAGCGGACTTCGCTAGTGGGATATCACGTGCACCTATTCGTAGAACTTAAGTTACAAAGGTAACTGTTAATTTTCTCCCTGTTAACCACAAAACCCAGGCGCTGTATGTGGGACAGGACCCAGTGCGTATGACTCACGGCCACTTCCCTGGATGAGGCCAGAATTAACCCGACGTCTATGTAGATTAAATTCTTACCCCTGCTCCACGGCGCGAGTGCGTAGCCCAAGGGGAAAACGACAGTACTCGTAATTCCTCTCTCCCACTGCGAAGCGCAGAACCTCCTGTGTTCCGGTACTATCGGCACGTGGAAGTACGCATCTGTCAGGTCTATGGAGGATATCCAATCTCCCTGCCTGACACACTCGAGGAGCTGCTTTGTGGGCAGCATCCGAAACTGCCGTTTGGAAATGCACTCGTTCAACACGCGCAGATCCAAAATGGGACGCACCCCGCCTGACTTCTTGGCACTAAGAAGTAAGGGGAGTACAGCCCCCTGGTGGCCTCCTGCGGGTCTACCTCTACTGCTGCGCCTAGACTCAGCAGAGAGGAGACCGCCGCTTGCAGTGCCTCTAATGACCCCGTACCTGAGAGCGTGCTGCCCGTACGCCTCGGAATGGTGGTGGCTTCTGGGAGAATTGCAGTGCGCAACCCCTGCGCAGTGTT